TTTCTTGTATACTTTTTCTCCAAAAACTGTGGAATCATTTTGAAAATTCAGAAATGACTTCATCCCATTGGGATTTTAGATAAAATTATCTTAGGTCTGTCTGCCTGAGTCAGGAAGATCCCCTGGAGGAGGGAATGGCCATTCCAGTATTCTTGCCTGGAAAATCCCAAGGACAGAGGAGCTTGGTGGGCTACAGTCCACGGGGTCGCAAAGAGTCGGACATGACTAAGCATGTACACACTCACACATCTTAAGTCTATAAATCAACTGGGGAAGAATTGATAGCTTTAAAACACTGAGTTGTCCTATCCTAAAATACGGTACATCTCCCTACAGACTGAAATCTTATTTTCTGTAATTCTGAAGCTTCTTTATAAAAATAAAGATTTGCAGATTTCTTATTAAATTTATTCTTAGATATTTCATACTTTATATGGCCATAGCAAATTGTATCTTTTATACTTTAAATTTTTCTGTAGAGCTATTTTGGCCCACAAAATATTTAGAGACTCTGAAGGTATCAAGGGCAAAGCTTCACACATTAGTCATGAAAAGCTGATGTTCTCCCATTTACTACAAACTTCTGACAAGATCCTGTAATGTAATGCATTAACCCTTTGCCCTAAAACCCACCCCTTAAATTTAAAAACATGATGACTCTCCTCACCCCACCACAGCCACCACCTGGAGGGCATCCAGCCATCTAGCTGTCAAGATAGAGCCAGGCTGGGACTCATCCTTCTGCCATGTCTTCTCACCTTTGGCACTGTCCAAAAAATGTGACGGCAGCCAGAAATGGGTTTTATTTACTTTGATGTGACTCAGGACTCCAGCCAAAACTGAAAGTATCAAGTCGAAGAGAACCTATAAAAACTGACCTGAGGCCGCGCGGGGCTCTGCGCTGTTGGCGGCCGCGGCCCGAGCGAGAGGAGGAAGTGAAGAGAGCTTCATCAATGTCTAAAAAGAGACTGTGCAAGGAGCTGTCATACTCACTACCAGTTTACTGACAAGTCCCACTCCAGGCTCGACCAAGAGGAAAAGATGCTAGAACCACAGGAGAATGGCTTGATTGACATACCAGATTATGAGCATATTGAAGATGAAACTTTTCCTCCGTTCCCGCCTCCAGCCTCTCCAGAGAGAGAAGATGGTGAAGGCGCTGAACCTGAAGAAGGTCCATGACACTAAAGTGGTGTCCATGTTCAGCTATCCCTCTGTCAGCTTACAAAATGACACATTTTATAAGTGAGGCTTAAATAAGTAATATTAAGTCTTGATATATCGTTTCACCAGAGTCAGGGAGAGGAGTGTCTGTTCCCGTACCTCCGAAGAGAACCGTTAAAAGGAATATACCCAAGCTGAATGCTGAGAGATTAATTTCAGAGAGAGGGCTCCCAGCATTAAGGCATATGTTTGAGAAGGCAAAATTCAAAGGTAAAGGTCATGAGGCTGAGGACTTGAAGACCCTAATCAGACACATGGAGCACTGAGCACATAGACTCTTTCCTAAACTGAAATTTGAAGATTTTATTGACAGAGTTGAATATCTGGGAAATAAAAAGGAAGTTCAGACCTGTTTAAAAAGAATTCGACTTGATCTCCCTATTTTACATGAAGATTTTGTTAGCAATAATGATGAAGTAGAGGAAAATAATGGCCATGATGTAACTGCTACTGAATTAGATCCCTTTCTGACAAACTCACATGAAAGTGTAGAGTTTGCTTCTGAGTCAAGTAGAAGCCTAACAGAAGAACAGCAAAGAATTGAGAGAAATAGACAACTGGCCTTGGAAAGAAGACAGGCAAAGCTACTGAGTAACAGTCAGTCCCTAGGAAACGACTTGTTGGTGAACACGCCCAGCACACAGCCACCTGAAGAGGGCAGTACAGGTGAGGAGCAAAAGGAGGAAGAATCAAATGGATTTAACAAAGACCTTCTGGATAGTCCACGTAATGATGGTGCTGCCAGTACTGTAAATGAAGAGGAGGGATTAAAAGTCGAGAAAACGCAACTGGACCAAGCCTTTTAAAATTTACAGTAGTTACTTAGGCTTCATCTAGAAATAGTCCTGAAGTTGGATAGGCCTCAAATGAGAAAATCTGTTAAGCTGCTATCTTCCAAATTTGAGATGACTGTGCAGTGCATTTTGTCTGCTTTGAAT